GTCGAAAACTTGCGAATAATAGATGCCAGTGTTCTGCCGACTCCCGTTTCTGGAAACCCGAACTCAGTTATAATTGGAATGGCTATTCGGGGCGCAACGATGATTTTACAGAGGGAAAAAATGAAAAAGAAATGAGTTAAACCCGGTTACTATGTGTGCATATATGTATGTATTTCTTAGAAGTAGGAAATTCCTAAAGATAAGTGCACTTAGGAAGTACGCACCTAAGTATGTATGTATATAGTTGTTAGTTAATAAGTTTGTTTGACTAGTTGGTCTTGTGTTACAAATAATAACAAATAAAAAGTCACAGAAAAGTCGTACATGTGCATTTGCATAGGAATATCTTTTGAAATTAGTACCAAGAATACCTGGCCCTTGAAGATAAATGTCGAGTGTCCATTCGATTTTATTTTCCTTACAGAGCTCTGTCTTAAATTACATCAACATTTTAAGGGGTTGGCAATAGGGGGCAAAACGCTTGTAATCCTTGAGCCCATAACTTGCGAGTTGGAGAATATATGAAAGGAGAAATGTTTGGATTTCCCTTTCCCGCCCCATTAACTCTTGCGGTCCTTACAACGCAGCATGAAAAGCATCATCTCGGAAAGGTGGGACTCGTACCAGCTCAACGAAATTCCAGCAGGGGTCTTTTTCTGCTCAGAAAGCCGCAACTCTCTATTTTTGTGTGTGGGTTTTGTGGACGCTGAACGATTGGAATCTCTCATCTCTCTTTGTCTAATGCTGCCTCACCTTAACCTGATCCAAGGCAAAACAAGGTAGAAGTGATTTCAACATTTCCCTCGTTTGAACTGTGACTGAAATGTCACTCTTAACCCTATACTATTCAAAATTTGATTTTTTTTTTTAATTTTCAATTGTGAGCTGTGCGACTGTCAACGAATTGTCAACTGAAGCGCCAACGGTGGGAAAATTGCTGCGATGCTTCATTAGGAGACTCTTCACCTGCGCGCGTGACTTTTTTTGTTGCCCATCGCAGCCGAGTATTTCTAAGCGGATGCGTTTGTTCCCAGGTGCAGGATTTATCATACCGTATATGAAAGGAAAACGTCCCACTGCCATAACATTGATAGACCAAATTTCAAATGGTGGTCTGATAAAACCTAAACCAGAATTCCTTGTTGACATAAAGAAACTGAAAGTAATTTTTAATAAAATTAATGGAAAGAAAATTTCAAATTGCAAAAATTTTATTACCACATTATTGAAGTTAAGTTCTGATGTAAATTTAGAAAAATCAAACTTAGAAGAATCAATACTTAGAAATTAAGTATTTGAATACAAAAACAAATTAAAAAAAACATTGGGATAGAAAAAGCAAGAAAATTGTCAAAACGGTTTTATAAATGAGAGCATTTCATTTGATGTATTATTTTGTGTAAGTCTACATTTACACATTTACATTAAAACGAAAAAGCAATAACTAAAATGAAGCTGATTATAATGAGGTTTTAAATATTTCCATATTTACAAAAACCTTCGTTTTAAAGATATTCAGTTATATCAAATATGGTATATGCATAACAAAGGGTTAATTTCTTTGTTTACATTTTTTGACATTACAGTCAGCTATGAGAGGGCTCAACTGAATTGTCACTTCTACGTTGTTGAATATGCCTTGACCTGATCTAACTAAAAGAGAGGTGAAGGAAAAAAGCATGCCTCTGGCTTACCTGCGGGGGGCCATCTGTAGAGCTTTAGGAAAAAGAATTAATGAGAATTAAAAGATGCAACATAAAATCATGAAATAATAAAATTAAGAAATGTTAAAATTTTCATAAAATGAGTAATTAAAAATACCAAATGTATGAGTGCTTGGGAAATACCGCAAAAATGCCTTTCAAATAAACTACATACGAGGGCACTAACAAAAGTTCGGTAAGTTTCTTGGGAAAAAAATGCAAAAAAAACCTACATATCTACATAAAAGGTTTGTTCCACACGAGCCCGCGGGATTTCGCGGATGCCCAAAACAGTCCAGAAAGCGTTCCTCACGCTAGAAAAATGGGTAATAGAGAGCGAATACGTTGCACTTTTGGATCGTAAATGTCTTCTTCTTTGTGCACGAAACAGCCCGGATTTTTTTCCGGGCACAAATGTGCAAAAGGGAAATTTGAAATAACAGCTGTTGTTGTTTAAATCCGAAAGCAAATTTTATAAAATACAAAAGTGGAAAATACCACAGAATTTTCAAAAAAATGTAGTTATTTGGTAATTTTATTAGCCATATAGATAGAAAAAGGTACGAAATGTGCCCTTTTGGCACGTGTTGACACATTTTTGACACTTGTGAGAGAGTAACTTATTTTTACGCTGTAATTACCGGAGCAGCCCGGAAAGCGTGTGGAACAAAGCCCTTTATAAGCAAACACAAAAATTTTGTCGTACATATACATATAACCTAGTCCCACTTTTTGCAGGGTGCATACATACATACATACATACACTCATACATACCCTGCAAACCAAAGTTCCCGAAATCTTTAGGAGTATCTCATTTCTGTAACGATTTATTTACGAATCTTCAAAGAAAATTGTATGAAGTGGTTGACACGAACTCGTAAAGAAATTTCTGTAGGAAAAATAAATAAAATTCTGAAAAAAATCTGCAAGATATTCTTCACGTAGCAGCATTATTTTCATTCCTTTACCGATTTTCTTCAGAAATTTCGTAAAAGAATCGAAGTGTGCACAGTTTATTTCATTTTAGAAAATTCGGGAAAAAGCAGGGTAATATCTTACGTACCTTTTTGTTTTTCAAAATTGTAATAATTTTCGACTTAAAAGATTATTGGTTCAAGAGAAATTATTGAAACGGACTGAACTTATTTATCACTAAGAGCGATCGCGGACTTATCGAGCCTACGAGTTATCGAAATTCTACTGCATGGCTAAATATTTATTTAACTACAACTGAATGCACAGAT